GCGGCTGCATTCTGGACAAGCTGAAGTCACTGAATACACTTAAAGGGCAGCCCCATGGAGAGCATATTGCAGTATTCCAGCCTAGAGGTCACAAGGGAACGAGTCACTGTTGTGAGAGCCTCCCGGTTCAGGTAGGGACGCAACTGGTGCACCAGGCGAACCTGGGCAAATGCCCCCCTGGTCACAGCTGACAAATGATGTTCAAAGGTCAGTTGTGGGTCCAGGAGGACTCCCAAGTTGCGGACCCTGTCTGAGTGAGAACTAACACCAACTAACAGTAAAGCAAAGGGCTGGGCTCCCATTACCAAATTCAAGAAGAGAAACAAAACATGCAGACATGCCTAATCAAAATAAAGCATTCATGTATTTATTTTTATTCCGCCTTTGTTATTATTTTTAATAAATAACTCAAGGTGACAAACATGCCGAATATTATTTCTTTCTCCTATATTCTCTTGCAACAACCCTGTGAGGCAGTTTGGGAGAGTGACTGGCTTTCATGCCTAAGGCGGCTTTCTTGCCTAAGGCAACACTAGAATTCACAGTCTCCTGGTTTTAGCCTGGTGCCTTAACTACTAACTAGATCAAACTGGCTCTCCAGGCAGAACAAAAACAGTAATCAAACAAGCAAAACTAATTTAGAAAAAGGAATATTTGCTCAATACCATTTCCCCTGTGCCTGAAACCTTTCAATACAAAGGCTTCTCTGCAACAAAATTATTTGTTTATTAGATTTCTAGACCAACTCAGTTGCAGTTGAAAATTAGGCTTAAAATAAGAAAAGGCAATTGAAACAAATAACATTGCTAAAAACCCATCTCAGTGAAAAAGAAAACCTGCTATATATGACATAAATGTATATTAAAAGCTGGGTAAAAACCACTCCGTTCTACGGCTGCTTAAAAAGCCGAGTTTTTGTAGCCTTTCTGAAAAGGAAACGGGATTGAAGCTTCAGGAGAGTGTTATACCAGGCACTGAGAATTCCTTTGTGATAGAAATAGGAAGGGAAAGGAAAGAATAGGTGAATCGTGTCTAAATGCATTGTGGAAAATATAGTTGAGGCTCTGGATAGGCTGTTTGCTCAGAGCCACTGAAATAAAAGCAGAGAAAACACTTGAATTCAGGACTGATTGAGCCTTATTGGTGAATCCGTATTGGGAGAAGATGTCTAGCTGTTTCTTGAAATGTGGAAAAATTGGTGATAGAGAAATAATACAAATAGATAAATGCACTTTTTCTGAAAAAAGAGGCAGATTTCCTGGACTGGATATCCAGGAACATTATAATTTAATGAGAGCTGTTAGGCTTGCTACAGTTCTCACAAGCTTTCTTGTATATGCAAATAATAATTGCTCAATTTTTGGATTTGTACCTCCAGGCTTGTATGCCCGATGTCACTTTTAACTTATTTTTAAACTGTCCCTGCTAACGATTTTGTGTACATACAATATTACAGTGTACAGAAAGTTTCATTTGGGAATTTCTTGTATTGAATTAGAAGGTCAGAATTCAGCTGTGTATCTCTTCCTTTTCTTTTGGTTCTGATTTTCCTATGTCTGAGTTTTGTTGAACTTTTGGGAAGTGCAAAGGGAATGGCAGCCCTTCTGCTGTTGAGCTTCAGTAAAGTAAATAGCAGGATGCTATAAAAGTCTACTGTCAGTTGGTTTTTTTTATTCTTTTTCTGTCCTGCATGGTCAAAGGGCAAAGAGTGCTGTCTCTCATAAATCAGATTTCCAAACATCCCCATCTCTTTGAACATTTCACAAAGAAGCAGGAAACAATATCAAATACATTTTTTTCCATATAAGACACTTGACCAAGCACTATATTGAAAGTATAATTAAAGGAATATTTTCTAATGGAAAAGATTTTCAATGATTTGCTGTAAAGGCATATTAGGTGTATTAAAATAATAGCATCAGCAGTCTAATCAGAATTCGAGCTTAGGGTTTGATTTAAACAACAACAACAAGACAAATGCATAAAAAAATTCAGCGACCCAGGCTGTATTCATGCACAGCTGAGAAAAAGGGTAGTGATTCTTTATTTGAAGAATCTATTTTCTGAAAAATGAAACTAGTAGTTGCCATAAAATCAAAATGGAACTACAGTTGCAGAGAATGTCTACGCTGCTTAACACACCTGTATTGATGTGTAACAAAAAATTTCTGGCAAAATTCTTACTGTTATCAGTTTCACAGGTGAGAAACACAAAACTATTTATTATTTGAAGCATGTAGTCCTTAGTGCTCTCTGAGCTTGGTTATTTGCTTGCAGATCTTTCATTACCTGAATAGGTAATATCTTCAGTGCCAGCTTTCAACCGTGAGCTGCATATATTCTCCTCTATGAGTATTTAAAGAATCACCAGAACAACCAAGCAGGTCTGATTTTATCCCTCTTCCATGTGACACTCTCTTTTGTCTAGTTCTCAGGCCATGATTTAAGAACCATGATCTCATTTTTATACCACAAAATATCCAGAGCAACACACAAGAGATTGAAGAAAGAGAGAATAACACAAACATTATCTCAATAGTTCTTTCTTTCACCACAATGCAGGTTGGATTCTGCTAAGATTCACTAGGAATCATTATTATTGGAATCATCTTTTCTACCATTGCATATCTTTATGCAATGCAAACATCATGTTATTATTATAAAAAACACAGAAACTTGCCAATTAAAAAAAGTATCATATTTTTCGGAATATAAGACACACTTTTTCCCCTCAAAAAAAGGGTGAAAATCTGGGTGTGTCTTATACACTAAATACAGCATTTTTGGCATCCTGAAACTCCGCCCCCTTTGCAAAAATCATGGTGCATAGCCTTTAGGAGGCTTGTAGAGTGCTCCTGGGGGCTGGGGAGGGCAAAAATAAGTGAAAACCTGGATGTTTTTTGC